TTCACGATGAAACAGATTGAGCGACTACTTATTGGAGAAGCTACAAGTATTGCAACATCATATATATATACATATATATAGCTTACCCAGAGAGCGATTTGAAAAATACTTTAATGAATGAGTTTATCCATAGAGTGAAATTGGTGTTAAAAACTTTATTATTCGGACGCTGATAATGCCTGACCAGCAAAAAATTAATGAATGGAAATCTATGGCTCTTCACAGAAAACATGTGAATTACCTTCGGCAGCCATTTATTAATTTACTTTTGTTCAACAGATGGCTCTGTGTAGGGGATATATTTGGTAAAACTGCAGGTTTTGTGTGCGAGATACAAGATGGCGTAGTCCCAACTCGTCGCTATCGCAAACATATTCTTAAATAGCGAATAGAGGATGATTTATATCGGAAAAGTGATTCAGTCTGAGAAACATTGGATCACATTATCGCTAACTGTTCTGTAGTGATACTAAGGAAATATCTAAACAGGCACAATGTGGATTGATCTTTAAAACTTGTTTTACCAGTATAAACCCACTTCGGTTCTAGAAAACACAAATTTTCATATGTGCATATAATAAGGCTGATATTCTAGAAAGAATGGTTCTGTACACCAGTTTAATGATTCTATTCCACATAATGGCAATATTGAGCAGAAGTATGCATAAAGATGCGCAACTACATACCAATGACTCGGGAAATTAAAGAAATTTTGAGAATTCAGCGAGTGGTTGTTGTACCGATTATATTATCAGCCACTGGTATAGTATACAAAATTCTCAAACACTCTATGGACATATTTGAACTCTCTGAACTGCTAATAAATACGTCTTGTTGTGTACATGTGCAATGTTGAGGGAAACGATCAACATGCTTTGGAAAGAGCAACGCAATACAATTGGTATAGAACATGGACTATACTTCAACAGATCATGAATTCCTGGATGCTTGTCATCCGGAATTGTGTGAATCCCAGCATTCAGATAATAATAATAATAGATAAATCAAACTTTTTTGTGCCGATTTTTCGTGTAATTAATTTTTTGTGAACTTGTTGCTTTATGTTTATGTGAGTCAATATGATGATGATAATACGCTCTTTAACGTTTTAATTTCTACAATTCTAAACAATTCTACACAATTCTTAAGCTAATGATGACAGCATAGCACAACTTTTTTTATGAATATAATATAAACATGTAGTGCTCGTAGACTTCTCTTATGAAATTTTGCGCAGTGTAATTTGAGTTGTAAAATATAATCAAAGTACATGCCACGCACGAACTGCATAATTTCAGGTAAATTTTTGTTTTCTTTACTGGAAACTTAAACTATTTTCCTAACCGTTTCGAAACATTAGAGTTTGCACCTGCAACATCACATAAAAATGAAGTTTCCTTAACAAATTTAAATAATCTTGCTAACAACAATAAAAATCATTCGCCGCCGTAAGATATATGCAACCAACCATGTGTTGCATATAAGACGCATACCAAAATAACGAGCTGCATAAAAAATCCACTTGATCTGAACATAATATGATGGCGCGTCGTATTTCATGTTGTTTTTGTTTTTCTTTTTTTTTCTTCTGCATTTTGCAATTTTTATTTTTTTTTTAATTTTATTATTTCGCCTCAAAGTTGTTGCATAAACGCAAAACTAACGAAAGTTTATCCTTCCCAAATTCATGCTCTTGTATGCACTTCCCTACAGAAACTAACATTAACCCCAGCAAATACATATAGACATACACGCACTCACACCCTGCTTGGGCCAGGAGTAAATAGCTGAACCGACTGAATCGGAGGATCTGCTGCCATGAGGTGAGCAATTGGTATCTTCTTTGTGTTAAGGAAATTCTGCTTGACTTTCTCCTTTGCTGCTATTTAAACTCTAAAAAAGTTCATGGCGTATTGGTGCTTGGCGTGACTTCAATGTTTTGACAGGATTTCAGGCATGTGTGCATGGGTTCATCCTCTGTCAGTGTGGATGTGTGTGCATCCAGGGGATATGCATCCGCGTTAGTTATTGCATTGAGTCAAGTGTTTGGTACCATTTCACACACACTCGTAAATTTCATACACTGCAAGTGCTACACTTTTGGGTGTTGCTTTAATGCAGTTTTAAAGTGCTAAAAGTGCAGTTATTTTGTTGGCATTTTTACTTGGCTCTTTTCGAAAGCTTTTTAAGTTAGCTTAAGTCATTTTTTCTTCCTCTTGTTTGCTTCTGCGTATTTCTAATTATATTTTTTTAGAAGATATTTCTGATTTTTTTATTTTTATCTGAGAGTTTCTAACTCTGCTCAAATTTCTCTGTATATTCTAGTCCAGTGTTGCCATAATTTCGTTTTTGCTCTTTGATTTTTAACTACTTTGGGGAATTTGTTTTCAAAGTAAAGTTCAGCTTAGAGTTTTTATATAAGTTTTAATTAAGTGGCAAATATTTGACAGATGCACAGACAAACAAATAAAATGGCCATATTAAGCTACCATTAAAAATCATCCAAACTTTGGTCAAATGGGAACAGAACTCTGAAAAGTTCAAGTAAATGCATTAAAGCTTAACTGAAAGTAAATAAATAGAAGAAAAAATAGAGTCTTTGTAGCCCTGGCATAAACAACGATAAACAAACCCTTTTGCAAGTAAACAATAGTGAATAAAGAGCTAAAGCAACTGACTTGCAGTGGAGGGGGCACTCGAATCTAGATTTTATTACGGTTTGAAATAATTTGGTTTCATGAAGTGGTAATAACGTACATAAAAAATATGCCCACAACAATTTAAGGAAATGATTTCTTATCAAAAGACACAAAAATATGAAATGGAATTACAAAACTAGAAGCTCTAAAATGTTTTATAAGAAAGAAAATGAGATGGAAGGAAAAATATGAAATGGATGGTGGAGAACAATCACCGAAAGGTGGCGTAACCAGAATTGCATTCGCGGATAAGAAGATATATTAAGAAGTACTTATTGAAATATGCTGTGTATTTATGGTAGATAATAGATAAAAGGGGGAAATCTTTTAGCTTTCCTGAATACGCCACTCTTATATTTATTTTATTTTAATTAATTCAATTTTATATTACAAAGAAACTTACAAATCAGTATACCATATGCTTATATCAGCTTAAAAATTTAATCCTTCGATTTATTTTAGGCTAAAAATACATCTTCTTGGCTAATTTGCTGCCCCTAATTTATAAATCATTATAACTACATATGTATATCAAGCATATATTACAGCTGCATCTATTTTGCTTTCAAATAAATATTTCATATAAAACCAGGGACTACTGTCAGGAGCACACACTCAAATTCAAAAATATATGAACCGTCTTGGTAACTACCAAATAATTTCTGTCCAGGTACTTTTAAACTCATCACAGGAACGTCTAAGTTTAACAAGGCTCCAACCAAAGAAGCCGTGTTGTTCCTCCAATAAAAGTAAGTGACTCATACAATGATGCACATTAGTAAGAAAGGACTACTAGGTGCTTCTTCTATAGGTCACAAGCACTAACCTTATGTAACACATAGGCGTAACTCGCCAGCCGCAAAAATTGCAATTGCTCTCAGCTCTATACATATATACATATACTAATTTAAACTTATATTACAAATATAAAAAAATTTTAAATGGTAAAGCAAAGTCACTATACGGCTATTTATTTCGTGATTCCGGAAGTAGACGTAAGTTAAAGATACGTACGATTAAAATCTTATTAAAATTACTTGGGCTTTCCCATTAAACATAACAGCCAGCAAAGTACATAACAGCCAGCAAAAAAAAAACAAAAAAATAATGTATAATAATAAAAATTTTAGATGTACTTATACATATATATATATTTACGCATATTTATATATAAACAAACATATGTGCATATTACACAATTCTTTAATTGCAATTGTGAGGAATTATTTAATTAGGCTAGGCTATACCGGCGATCCTAAGAATCCACCATTTGACCATTGAAATTACAGTATAAGAACTCAAAGATTTAAAAGCCAGCTTGAACCTTTGGCAAAGCTTAAAATTCTCTTTGCAGAAAAGTCCTGCAGCTTATCAAGGTCCTCAACAATTGCTAAAAAAAATGACCCTAATACAGTTAATCGGCACCCCGCATGTGCTCGATCGTAACTATGCAAATGTGAAGTACGTCCTCTCTACAATTGCGACAGGAATAATAAATTATTGTCAGCTATATTTATTCCACACACCAGTTTATAAAAATGTTTTAATTATCGATCGAAAATTGTGAATAAAAAAGAAAGAAATTAAAACTTCTCGAAGAGACAGCTTATAGTATTGTATGCTTTTGGGTTAATTTTCGATGGCACATACATAACTGCCAATAGCTTGGCAAAAACTTGAGGAGTGATTTGTTGAAGATGCTTTATATCGTTAAGAATTTGAGTAATCCCAGAGGAACAAGTCCTGTGCTGACAATTCACATTACCAACACATCAAATCACAAATTCGGGAAATTGCTCATATACCTAACTATAGATATTTTGTCTTTGGTATAGACATATCGTGTAGCTTGGGATAGATCTATTAAGATCGCATATCCTTTGCATTGAAAACTATATCTTCACACCAAGGAAATTGTTAATTATATGGCGATTGTGATTACAATTGACTGATAGTGTCACATCTTATCATTTTCAAAAAGTATAGGCCTATTGTAACTTTAGACTAAATGGCATATCTTCCAGTAAGATTTTGTTGCTTCAATAGTCTTCCGGGAATAATTTGTTGATTAAAAAGTTATTATTTTTAAATTTTGATATTAAAATTTTTCATAAAAGTACAAGTTTATATAATAAAAATATAGCATAAAATTAAATTAATTAAAATTTCAAGTAAGCTTTCTTATAGCAAACCAAGACTTTCTTATCAAAATCATTTGAAAATTTCTTAATTAAATTCTTAACAATCGGAAAAAGAAATTTGTTCTGTAGGACATAGAAAATGTGTAAAAATCTCTTTTCGTGTTTATATTTTTCATTTAATGCCATATGCTTGGTAGGATTTTAATTATCAAAACTTAAACTTCTTTTATAAGCTATAGAATATTGATCTACTGTTTATTTTGGCTCTCTACTAATGTCTTTTGTAAATATTTAGGCATTAGGATTTGGCTTCATCACAATCGGATCAATTTGTGAGGATTTCTTTAATGGCTTCGATAGTTTGCCTTTTCTGTTCATGTACTTCCTGGGTTTTCTGGTTTGCTTTGCCAACTTAATTAGCACAATTGCTTATATATTGCAGCATTACCGTCTCTTCCGTGCCGTAAGTTTTTAAGCAACTGTCATAAAGAGGATTCTAATATATAACGATATACTTTTTCTTTCTATATATAAGTATATAGCGTGTGTACTTACAATTATGATTTCTGTGCTGTTCCTCATGTATGTATGCCTGTACGACTATAGACAAAATGAAATTTGTAAGGATGTTTTAGAAAAGGAGTGGAAAGTCTTTGTTGAACACCAAGACAACGAGTTTTGGAGTAAAAGATTTCAGATGGGTTTTCACTCATACCAGTTTTTAGTAAGAGATAACTTATTTAGAGTAGTTTGTCTAGATTAATGTTTATGAACTTTAAAAGCTTGGCTGCTGTGGTTTGCACAACAAGACTGATTACGAAAAGGAGAATATTACTATACATATATCGTGTTATGAAGTTATTGACGAAGAAAGATCAGACGAACCGTACGAAATTGGCTGTATAGAGGCTTTTACTTCCTTCATAACATATAATATAGGTGTTACCAGAATTTTAAGTTGGAGTCTAATGTGCTTTATAGTAAGTTTAAATTTGATTATATATGAAAATCACATAAAAACTGATATCATTTAATTTATAGGTCTTATCACTGCTCTTTACTTTGAATATTATTGCCCATTTTGAATGAAACCAAATTACTAGAGAAAATGTTTTCAAGTACTGTCAAAGGATTTGCAAGTAATATCCGAATGCAATTCATAAATATTCTCAACAACTAGATGGTCTAAAAATATTGATAACATAAATTACATAAAAAGTTCTAATCATTCAACACCTTATAAAAAAATTGTTATTGTTCAAGCTAATTTACAAAATATTAACCAGTGATCTTAAACAAATTTATTAATTCGTTAAATTATTTATATTATGTCAAATAAAAAATATGTTACTCTTATAGTTAATTGATGAAACGTAAACAATTTATTAAGTTGTATATAACTTTAGTATCTTATATATGCACATACATACAATAAACATACTTAATTCTTTAAACAAAACATATTTATTATGTAGATACCAAACAAACTGAAGATACAGGGTGCTCTGAATGTAACTGACTACAAACTACAACAACTATGTTTTTGTTGTAACGAGGTATCGAACGGCCCTTGGTCGTGGAGTGGCTCCTGGACATACACCCAGCTGTTTTTCGAACCATAAAAATTTCCGTAGTGCTTACTTTGAGCAGAAGACAATTTACTTATTTAACTAAAGTCAGTATGCATCTTGTTGCCAATTTTAGTTTTATTATACTAATCCACTTACTGATTCCAATAATGTACTCATACTCATATATTACATCAAAACTAAAAGTTAGTCAAATAATACATAGTATATGTAATATATATATACTTGTCAGTAAGCATGCCTAATTGCACTTTGCACATCATTACTTTACTTACCTATCCAAAATTAGGTACCTGTCAATGCAAACATCAACAATTATATTGGGATACAACTATTGATCACTGTGAAGCAGTTAAAATTTTTATGGAGAAATATTCTACCCTAAGCATTGATTATAATATGGCTTGAATTTTTATCTTCGTTGAACCATTTGGCGTTCCAGACAAACTTATTAATTGCATTAAGTCTAGTTTTGTTAACCATGTCCGAACGACCGTAAAAACCAAATAATATCTAGGCATTCGGAACACTTCGTCTGTAGTCTCGAGCAGTGGCATAACAACTCCTGATTGAAATGGTCGAACGTTGAAACATTGGTGCAATAGTCCAGACTGGTTTTAGTACTTCGTGTATTTACACGAAGTGCAGGTTTGCTTCAATCTAAGAAACCTTTTTCTTCTCATGAAATCTAGGCCATAAAATTGTAACAACCTCACAAGCTATGTCATCGCAAATGCAAGTTCAGTTATGTTTCCAAACCATTAAGTGTCGGGACCTTATGACTATCCAAACTATTAGTTTATTTATTTTGATGCCCCAATATTCAGAAACCCAAGAAGAATGAATCTTATGCTGTGTTTAAAAGTGAAGCGCAACATTTTATTGTAATAATTGATTTAAAGGTTGTGAACGAAATTACTCTCACTACTGATTGACAGTGTTTGCAATACAGTGATATTCGAGAAACAAATGATAATACAATTAGTTTTGACTGATTTTTCTCTAAATGAAGATAGTTAAAGAATCACATAGCATGATATTACAAATCTGATTCATAAGCCGACAGACTCATAATATATACAGACTAGTATTGGATACTGTGCAAAACCATCATCGTTATGTTTTAAACCCCAATTCATGAAAAATCAAATAAAATATATAGCAAAGGACTTCTAAACGACACATTTGATTTAATTAAAGTCAGTAATAAAACAGTAAAGGATCCGATGATTTCCTAAACTAAGTAGGTTTGTCTATTTGGTTTATAATTTAACTTGAAAATGACTGTAATTTTTAGTTACATCAACTTTTAGTTTACGCACATTCATAATTAAGTGGCCCTATTCAATATTATGTTTTCCTTGTTGGAGAATTCTGCACTGCGACCTAGAAATCTATTGTGCTATATGCATGGATTCAGCGTATTTTTTCTCAAAGTCCAACTCCGCCTATAAATTACAGTATTGCATCTACATTAAAAAGTTTTATTTTTTTATCTGATGTTGGATGCCTACCTTTATAATTCTTTCGTTTATGCATTACTACCGATCAAAATTCTCAGGTCTCACTTTCTTCTCTACAAAAGCCCACAAGTTACATCTAGAGTGTCCTGGTAGAGTTTCTATAATGTTTCCTATATTATTTTCACTTAATTGTATAAAATCCGTAAAGTCTCTATAAACGATTTCGATTCTTATAGCCCTGATTAATTATTTCAGTATATTCATTATGCCAGAGTATTAATTGTTTCTCTTTGTTTTTTCGAACGAATAAAAAGAAATTTTCCCAGCTCTGAGTGTGGGAAGACTATTCAATACAGAAAATTTCAGTATACGATATTACAATTCTTACAGGATATTTTGGTTTTAAAACATCTGACAACAAAAATACAAACTCATTCCAGATAATGTTAATCATGAATAAATTACAAAACTTTTTTTTATTTTTATAGTCCATTCAAAATAATCTTTTTTCGAGACAATACAGCTGGGAAACATTTATTATTTAGTATTTATTGTAATAATTTTTTGTTCTCATCGACGAATGTTGTGTTTTATTATGCCGGTGAAAGTATTTTGGATGTTCGGGCTAATATCAAATCAATATACTTTTATCATCAATTTTAGTTTGGTGAATAGGTAGTAGTCGCATAAAGCCAACTAAGGCACAAAGGTATGGTGAATGAGCAACAAAAATACCTTTTTGGGACTGTACTTCAGTTATTTGGTTATTTGGTTTAAGCCCTATAGAGTGATAGGGCTACGTATATCTACAAAGCCAATTTTCAGTGGGTAGCGACCACTGTGATCCAAATATTGTCAACAGACAATATACTGAGGGCACAGTTTTGAAAGTATGCTACACTAATATCATATACACATAGGTTTCGTTGACTTAAAATATTTTATGAAAGCAATCTTAACAGATTTGGGACAAACTGTGTAAACACTATACTTTCAAGTAATTAAGAAATGAAGTCAAACACATGTATTATTAAAACAACAATTGTATTTTAAATATTTCTACACCAAATACCAAATTATGATATTTATATAAAAAAATATACTTCTTCTCATTTAATATAAATGTTTTTGAATCAATTTTAAACATCTTTGTTTTGATCATCGGATTTGGAAAGTTTTATTGGAGTACGGTTTGATTTTTTGAATACGTGAACTTTAAAACTTGACTTAAATTTTCATTTAAAAAGTTCTAGCCGTTCCTCCAAGTAGATTCTCTACCGCTTCTACCGCTTCTGTGAGTAGAGATGTTGCCGCTTCTGTGTTTATACCCAAAGTTTCTTCCTCAGTCATTTCCTCCTCGTATTCTCCCTCTGCCTCTCCCTCTCCCAGACCTTCTTCCGTTTGCTCTTCTTCCTCATTTGGATCTGGGCACGATATATCCGGATCAACGAAATCATCCAAATTAAGATAAACATGCTCATATAAATTACGCTCATCTTCGTCACTCAAAACACGACGGCTCTCCTCGAGAAATTTCTTGTACATTATTGTAACCTATATATACATTACAGTACATTTATATTAATCTATATAAAGACGCGTGTGTGTGTACATATATATACAATTATGCGCATATATAAGGAAATTACTAAACTTACCTTTCTCTGAGTATCCTTCATTTTTACAGGGCCATACAAATCAATGACAAAATGAACTTTATTTTCAGGTCTCAGTTCGATCATTTCATGAATCATAAAAGTTAATGTTGCGTGAAGCTGAGTATAAAGTAAGTAAAATTTAAGTAAAAATAAGAACTATGGTGCAAAGCATTAAAAGCTACTTACCATTAGATTCGATTGCAAATATTTCATATCAACATCCCAGAGTTCAGTCCTCAACTTCTGAAGATCACCAAAATGCTTTTGTACAAAGTCCCATGTATAATTTTCTTTAACCATTTTGAAAAATTATTTAGGTCTTAGCACAAGAAATATTTTTCTTTAATTACAGATTTTTATTTGTAACTGAACAAATGAAATTTTTTTTTTTATACTTTTCTTTTGAATTTCAAAACTAATTTAATCAATTTTCCAGAAAATTTCATGGCTATGATGATTAATATTTTTTTGCTCTTCATACAAGTATTACTACGTATATTAAGCTTTTATGTATTATATATTGCCAATTATATATAACGAACGACAAATTCTTAAAACCAGAAATATAGAAGCTGAAGGGAGGAAGTTAAGAAACTAAGAATGGCCGGTTACTTCAAATTTAATGGAACCGATTTCAGTCTTATTTAAATTAGTTACTTTTTACTTTCAGGCATAGCTAAATATACAGATGAAAACAGCTGTTAGGATTCAAGATCGAGCTGGTCCCAACCGGTCAAGAAACATATCAGTCACCTGCTACAATTAAAGCGTAAGCTGCTCAGCACTACAGATTTATGTGTACTAGAAAAATATGCTATATGACTGAGACTGCCCTCTTATGGCTTTTATCGGTGGTGTGAATCTGCGATTGAGGAGAACACTGTAATTTAATTCATGTGACAATATTTACCGTTGACTAGAAGAGGGTTCAAATCTTCTGAGCTTCTTTTCTTACTCACCTGACGAAGCTGTCTTTCTGCTAAATTAGGCAGTACTTAGCAGTTTCAGTGTTGTGCATACGCTAACTACTACATTCCATTTTGGGGTCTTTCTAGTTTGCGTATGAAAAACTTAAATCTGTGTTATATACCATAGATATCTAGTAGATATCTATTAGATGTCTAATTTTAGTGATTAAAGTTTGAAAGTTTGAGTCATCTGAAAGCATCATTTAAGATAACATGTTAATGGTCATTTCAATACATTTCATACACTTGCAATACAATTTTGGATTTTGTAAATAAAACACACAAATTTAAATTTTATTCCAAATTTATTTTATTTCCTTTAAAATATGCTCCTTCTGAAGTGATACACATATGCCAACGCTTAACCCAATCTTCCATACACTTTTCGTAGGCCCGTGAAGGTATGGCTTTTAGTTCCTTCAGGGAATTCTCTTTTACCGATTCAATCGAATCAAAATGCTTACCACGAAGGGGAAATTTGAGTTTCGGGAACAGAAAAAAGTCGCACGGTGCCAGATCTGACGAATATGGTGCCTGAATGATGACAGTGGTGCCGTGTTTGGTCAAAAAATCGCGTACAACAAGAATTTTCCATAGTAAAAATCGCTAAATGCACTTGAGTTAGTCTCACATTAACAGCTGCTGTAAACAAATTAATTGACAGATGGCGCTCAAATTTGTACCATATGTCAAGAAAGGGAGTACCATATAACAAAACAAAATTTTTGAAAAAGGTCTGTTACTTAAGGAGTAGTTAACAAACAACAAAATCCGGATACTTTTTGAGCAGAAGTTATTACAACGGGTTTATTTAGGTTAGGCGAATTTGTTACACAAAGCCGCCAATTCAACCTAACGTAACTAAGTACTAGACGTATTCTAATCACCCTATTCCTCCTCAATTTTTTCAATTAAATGTTTGCATGTGATTCGTTTTAAACAGTTATTTCTTAATTAGTCTGCATACTGGCTCTGGAGTAGGTGGATTAGGCAAGTTGATTTACCATTAAATTATGTGCCCAAATATATTATCAGCTTTATGAAAACTGACAGGCTTACCAACATCGCGTTATCGAATCTCAGAATGGTTACAGGCTCCTCGGGAAGGTATGCAGATCTGAGGTTAAGTATTGCTTAGTCTGATCTAGTGATGAACAATAAACCAGTCAAAGCGTAGAGAGGGGTTATGAAGAAAACTCGTTGTTGATAGTGACTAAAAGTGCTAAAGTGCACTGACTCAACTAGTCTCAATATAATAATATAATGTTGTTTAATTTTTTCTTCTAGGTAGGCTTGCAACGAGTAATCTTCTCTGACAACTGATAGCTGCAGTTTTAACTATCGAAAAAAAAATGTATCGGTCGCAGTTAGGCTTATTGTCTGAATTATTTGATATATTTGATATATCAATTGAAATTGCTGATTGGGTTTATTTGCCAACCTACAAGCATAAAGTATGTTAAAAAAATTGGACTAAAAAAATAATTGAAGTGCTTTGTAGTGCGAGACCGCAAATAAACCAAATGAAATGATGTTAAATGACTAACGCTCATTGGCGTAATTTTCATTTAAAATACAAAATTGTCAACTACAACATTTTTGCTTAAAATATTATTTTAATTGAAAATTTTTTATTAAATATTTCAAAACAAAAATACAAAATTTAATTTTTTGCAACTATTTAAAGCAATTTTAATTATAATTTCATGGACTTATTGGCCTTTTTGTCGCATGGTTTTTGAAACGTTCTATTGAAATTTTTTATTTTTAATTTTTTTATTTTTTATTTAACATTTATTCAATTTTGAAAGAGTGAAAGAATGAAAGAATGAAAGAATTTTATTGCAACAATTCAACAATACAATAACAATAAAAATTTTAGATTGGTTTCTGTTTAAAAAATGTTTATTTCGGTAGAAATTTCGATTTAATATTCGCATTGCATAAAAGTATCTATATTTTTGTATAATTGAAATCAGTTGCATGTTTGTGTATGACATTTTAACACTGATTACAATTAAAATTAAGCGTTCGATTTTAATCTGTTTGCAAACTATTCTCTGCTACGATAAATGCGATTTTCGATAATAGCAATTCATGGTTTATTTATCGATAATAAACGCCATAATAACGAACAAAATGTACACACAACGGAACTCAAAAATGCATTGCATTTGTATGTAAGCCCATTTTTGTAATCATATACTATGTATATACATATATTTATTTATACTCCTATATAATACATACATGTATATCGTATATACATATGTGTACTTTATATGTATCTCAAATATATATGTACTCCCTTCTATATTTGGTATTTTTATTTTATTATGCCAGTGAATCGTGCAAAAATCGTTAATAGAATTTTTGGGTCTTCGAAAATATCAAAAATTAAATAAAATTTTAAATTGAAAATAATCTACACCAATAAAAGTTATTTAAATTAATTTTTTTTTTTAACTATAAAAATTTAAAACATCAACTAAATCCTATTTTGCTATGTCATGATTTTAGATATAGTGACAATTTATAACAAAAAAAAATTGTTTGAACGTTTAAAAGTAATTAAATGATTTTCAACTAAAAAATATTATATATTTTTTGGGGAAAATAATTTAACTGAAATGTTATGTATCCCCAAACTAAACAATAAAGTCGAATTTGGAATATACTCACTAACGAATATGTATACTTAAAGTATCTCACAGAATACTAGAACTTACAAATGCATTTTGAGAAAAGAGAGCTAGAATACTAGAACTTGCAAATGCATTTTGAGGAAAGAGAGATAGAATACTAGAACTTGCAAATGCATTTTGAGGAAAGAGAGCTAGAATACTAGAACTTGCAAATTCATTTTAAGAAAAGGGAGATAGAATACTAGAAGTTACAAATTCATTTTAAGAAAAGGGAGATAGAATACTAGAAGTTTTTAAGAAAGGGGGGATAGAATACTATGTTAAAGAAACCCGTCAGCAACCTTAAATTAAATTTTTAGAATTTAAGGATGGCTTTGTACGAGTACGGTGTTATCAGTACGTTGCTTTTTCTAAGTCCTCGGAAGTCTTCCCAGTACTCCAGCCGCTTATGATTTTCCCTTTCTTTGATAATTTGTTTTGTACTGACACAGTTTAACCCACAAAAGGATTGAGGGCCTGTGAAAGTAGTTTTTACTGCAGTTCTAGATAGCTCATCAGCTTGTTCAATTCCCAAAACTCCCCTGTGAACCGGAACCCAGTAAAGGCTTACATTATTCTGAGCTGCAAGTAACTGTAAGAGCACATAACATTCAACGATTTGTTTCGACTTGAAAGTCCAAGCAGGCAGAGCTTTAAGAGCAGCCTGGCTGTCAGAGTAAATAACAATTCATGGACGTGACCAGCGGAGAAATGGGGCCAACACACTCTAGGTAATTTGAGATCAAAAACAAATAAAAGTTTCAAGACGATTAGTTTTATATTTGTAAATTCTTTATTAATATATATAATAGATATTAGTAATACATTGTTTACTTCAATGAAATGATATTCCTTTTTTCTCTGTTTTGTTTTATGTGAAAATATTGTCCTCACGTCCTTTCCCAACCTCTCAGAGTTGACTACTTATTTATAGTTATACAACTACTTTATAAAGATTCAATATATTTATTTCGAATTGTAGGACAACACAGTTCTTATAGTTTACAATAAGTACTCTTTGTATTCCATCTTCAATAGATGTTAAGTATTTATTCTGTCATTGAAATCTGTTAAATTTCACACCGCGCTATGTTCAAAATAACATCCTTTTGAGTACTTGTACTTAAAGGATGAACTTGTTTAAGAAGATTGGAGAATTTCTTTAATAAATATTATAAAGACAGTCATTGTTAATATAAATTCTGTAAATAGTAGCATAGTAGATTGCAAAATAAAAAATTAATAATCATATTGTACGATATAAACATATGAAATGTATATGATTCTACATAGTTCAGGAAATTAATTATTCTAAAAATACCGTGAGAACTATTCTCCGACTTTACCCTTTAGTAAATAATTAAAATCTGTGACATTTTTGCTTCATTTAACTTTCTGTAATTTGTAAATAATGCAATCGAAGAACTCATTAAGGAACAGTTTATGAAAGCGTTAATTCTTTATAGGTATATCTACGATAAGATAGGAGAATATGTATGATATATCGTGAAGATATATATATATATTGTTTCAGTTTTACGTACAAACAATATACAACACACACCTAAAAACGTACATCAAAGGTATTGTGTTAATAAAATAATTGTGCTTATGAAGAACATTGTTCGTGACCTTCTGTGGGTTGAAATGGTTTGAAGACAAGGGTTGGGGTATTA